TCTAATATTTCCTGCTGCTCGCACTCAAGAAAACTCTGGGAAGCTGTGGGGGTGGTGGGTAAACGCCCCACAAGTGGCCTGGCCAATAATTGCACCAGCGGCAGAGAAATCAGTCTCTGGCTCAAGTCCAGTTACAGTGTATCTTCTGCATTCTCCTGTCTACACTTTAATACTCTCTCCAAAAAGAAGCAAGTTAATGTGACATAACTGACTTACACAGTTCATGGAGTGCTTTCATTCCAAAATATAATTAAGGGCTCGTGAGACGGCTCAGTGTGCAAAGGCACTTGAGCGGAGGCCTGCCAACCTGAGCTCTGTTCCCGGATCACACAAGGTGGAAGAGGAGAACAGACCTCCGCAAGCACACTGTGGCACACTTACGTCTGCACACACACACACTCTCACACTCAGGCATGCGTGTGTGCACTCACACAAGCGTGAAGGATAAATAAATAATTTTGTTTAATGTTATCAAACTAGGCATGATGCTGAATTCCTGTAACCCCGAGGAGACAGGAGCTCATCCTTGACTACACGGTGAGGTCAAGACCAGCCTGGGCTACATGAGTCCATGTCAAGAATATTTTTAACGTGGAGCAGGGGTGATAGGTCAATGAGTAAAGGGATGGTGGTATGAGCATGAGGTCAGGAATTCAGATTTCCAGCTCCCTTGTAAAAAGCTGGCACATGTCTATAATCCTCGCAGGGGGGTGGGGGTGGGGGGGCTCTGTGACGTGGTAACTGCAGAGGCTCGATGGCCAGCCCATCGGATGGACATGGGAGCTCCGAGTTCAGTGAGAGAGCCTGTCTGAACAGTTAAGTAGGGGAGCAACAGAGGAAGACAGCCAGCACTGACCTCAGGTCTCTACACTGCACACACAGGGGAGCACACCAATGCAGGTACACACACACACACACACACACACAGTGTCACCAGTGTTGATAGCAACTAATGAATCAGATTAGATTATACTAAGTTTCTACTGTATATAAAAACTCAGGATATTGTATACTGAGATCTTATGGTAACAAATGTAATAATTAAAAAGCAGTCCCTAGTCAAGACATCTCTATCCCACTCCAGGTCATCAGCTCTTGAGGTCCTTAACTGACTACAACTGCAGTTTGTAATTTTGTGTCATTCACAAACCTTTCCTCAGCCTTATGAAGCTCAGTAGGTGGAGCCCTGAGATGTCTCAGGGGTGAAGGGCCCTTGCCACCAAACCTAATGAACTGAGTTCACGTCCAACCCCAGAATAATCCAAGAGGTGGTAGGAGAAAAATCAACTCCCACGAGTTGACCTCTGACCGCCACACACTGACCACGGCATGGGTTTGAGAGGATGAATCAAGGGTTAAGAGCACTGGCTTCTCTTATAAAGGGCCTGAGTCCCAGCATCCACACATGACAACTCACAAAACCTTCTCCCATGTGTTTACAGAATATAAGGCAACCTAAGTGGCAAGCATCTGTGTTTCTCATAATGGGTACCATTTCACTGAAGCCTGTTTCTCCAGCTCCTTTATTCTAAGAGCCTCCTCACGCAACCATCCTTTCATGAGATATTCAGGCGCTGTTCTAGTCTGAAATGGCCTTTGCATGAAACCTGCTACTGTCTCCAGAGCTAGCTCAGACAGTCGTGTGGCATTTCCGACCCTCGGCTGCCTTAATGACTTATTAATCGTTTACCGCAGGGTCCTTCAAGGAACAAATCTCCCCCATCTTCTTCTGACTTCGTCACAAGCACGGATGCTTCCCCCAGCATGGAGTACCACACAAAGTCAACCTGGACCAGAAGTATTTGAGTTAGGAGGCAATGCTTCATCAGAGGGATGCAAGGCTGTCCACTTCATCAGAGGGATGCAAGGGTGCTCACTGAAAGCAGGACAGGCGAAGATTTCTCCAAATAGACAGCTCTGTGAGTACCCCAACGCAGCACGAAAGAGATGGAGGGACAGGGCTGCAGGACATTTGGGATGCTGGCACTCAAGTGAGCAAAAGGCAGAGGGCATCCTCCCCCCAACCCCTGGAAAGGAAAAACTAAGTGTGTTTGGAGCGGGTTATAGGAAGAAAATAAAATTCAGACTGAGCCCCTATCAAACGCAGGGCCAAATCAGTTTCCAATGACTATGCTAAGAAATTACCACAGAACTAGTATCTTTAAACAACAGAGACACATCTCACTACTCTGGAGGTCAGAATCCCAAAATGGATCTCACTGGGCTTAAACGCAGGGTGTCCAGAGAGACATGTTCCTAGAAGCTCTGAGGGAAATCTACTTTCCAGCCTTGGATAGTGATAGAGTGTGTCGGGAATTTCTTGGCTCACAGACCCCTTCGTGTGTGTGTGTGTGTGTGTGTGTGTGTGTGTGTGTGTGTGTGTGTGTGTGTGGTGTTGTTGTTGTTGTTGTTGTTGTTTTTCAAGAGAGAGTTTCTCTGTGTAACAGGTCTCGAACTCAGAGATCCACCTGCCTCTGCCCCCCAGTGCTGGGATTAAAGGCGTGCGCCGCCGCCGCCGCCGCCGCCGCCGCCGCCGCCGCCGCCGCCGCCGCCGCCACCACCACCACCCGGCCCCCTACATATTCCAAGTCAGCCGTGGTGTGGAATCTTTGAGCACATGCAGCTCTTACAGAGGATCCAGATTCAGTTCACAGCACCCAGACAACAGCTACAGACAGTCTGCAACTCCAGTTCCAGAGAAGCTGGCCTCTTCTTCTTGCCCACAGCAGACACTGTGGGCACAAAATATACAGGCATGCATGCAGGCAAAACATCCATACCCACAGAATAAACATAAATCTCCTTAAAAATAAAACAGAATGGAAAATTACTAACTAGACTTATGTTCCTATCGTCCTTTCATACTGAACTAAATGCATACATGAAGATGACCCAGAAATAAGATAACATACCAAAAGAACAAAATAGAACAAACAAGTTCTGAGAAGTTGACATATTCCATGAAAGCCATTTAAGCAACAAAAAGCACATATGTGTGTTTTACCATCGAAAATCTGACACTGAAGACAGTAAGGTGGATCCACAGGCCAGGGCACTTGCTGGCCACCAGGCCTGACAATCTGGCTTCAATCCCCAGGACCTACATGGTGGAGGGGCAGATCCAGCTCCCACAGGTCGTCCTCTGACCTCTACATACACGGCAAACAGGCAAACATGAAAACACACACACACACACACACACACACACACACACACACTGAGTGTAAAACAAAAAAATAATAAAATATGAGGCTGTGTTAAAGTGAACAAACTTTGAATCAACTTTGAATCATGCATTTTTAATCAACTTTTAGACAGCCTTCAAACAAACCAACACCACTTTCCCACCTCTTCGGTAAGGGTGGACGTGTGCCTGACAATGGCTGGCATCTAAATAGGGGCAGCTGGTGAGAGCCCTCTGTCCACATCTGGAAAGATGGGGAAAGGCAACAGCCTGGAAGTGCTGGGTTTCATCCAAAAGGATCATCCTAAGTATTCCCAAAAAAGACAAAGCCATGGACTAAGGAGGCAGCTTGGTTGAGAGCGCGCTTGCCTAGCCCCGGGTTTGATCCCCAGCACCACTTAGAACTGGACAAAAAAAAAAAATTAACAGAAAGCTATGAAACTACAATCAGTGGGGAAAGACGAAAACGCCCCCCAAATAACCTGCACATCTTTTGCCTTCACAGCAAGTACATACACAACAGTGGTTATGCCAAGGGGTAAACAGCCAATGAATTCTTTAAGACAGAAAATAAGGACCAGAAGAGGTGACTAATAAAGGTGACTAATAATATCTGTGAACCCACTTAAAGAAGGGCAGGCCCCGCGCCTAGTGGTAGATGGCCAACACAAAGGGGAACCAATGGTGGTTTTGAAGGTTTTTTGTCTCACATTGCTCTGTTTAGGCATTTTTTTTTTTTAACCTTCCTGGTCTTTTGATTGCACATTATGGTTTCCAATTCTGTGATTTTCGGATTTGTGGATGTGTGTTTCTCACACCCTCTGTTGTTGTTGCCTGTGTGTTTCCTAAAGAGAAGAGACAAGGAAGACGTGGACTATGATGGGTAGGAAGGATCTGGGAGGACATAAGGGAAGGGAAACTGGGATCCCAATATTTATTTAAAAAACTATTTTCAGCAGGGTGGTGATGGCACACGCCCTTAATCCCAGCACTCGGGAGGCAGAGCCAGGCGGATGGATCTCTGTGAGTTCAAGGCCAGCCTGGTCCACAGAGTTCCAGGACAGACAGGGCTGTTACACAAAGAAACTTTGTCTCGAAAAACAAAACAACAACAAAAATTATTTTCAATTAAAAAAAATATCATCTGTGGATCACAGTGATCAGTCTCCCAGAAAGTACTACAGGCTGCCCAGATCATCCCAACACAAACAGCAAGGCAAGTTCATCAAGATCAAGCTTTGAAGCTGAGTTTTGACCCACACATGCCACACATGCAGCAGGATTAGAACTCATGGAAGGACTGACTGCCCTGTAAGCATGGAGAATGTGAGACTTACACTGTTTGGTAGAGAGAAGTATTGCCAATGATTTTCCTAAGCAAAATGTCTTTCCCCATCACTCTCTAGGCTCCAGCAAGGGAAGGACTTAGTTTTGTTTTAGAGCACATCTTTACCTGGGACACACCCATTGTGAAAAGCACTCACATGCTCTACTCCTAGGGTTCAAACACACTGAAAGAGATCAGAATACACAGTTGTTTAAATGTTACTTTTTTATGGAGACAAGCTATCCAGACCACCCAAACATATAAAGACACAATGTAGATCAGGGTTGCCTGGGGGGGGGGGGGGGGATATCAAGATGGGACTCCAGAAAGCTGTCAAGGTAACGCTGGTGATGCCGTACAAATCTGGGGGATACACTAAAGTGCTGAATTTTAAGTGGGTGAATATGGCATGTGAATTAAATTTCAATAAAGCTGTCACTTAAATTTTGTAATTCCTGGGTCAGTGACAGCTCAGTGAGCACAGGTGTTTACGACCAAGCCTGACTACCACAAACCGGTGGGGCAGAAGAATGGAACATACCCCCACACACACACATGCTGTCCTCTGACTTCCAAATCTGCACACATTAAATGAAGGACTAGCTGTAGAAAATGTTGACAAATTCTGTATAACTCCACACAAATTGTTCTTAAGGTTTAGTTTTATTTTCCGTGTGTGAGTGTTTTGCTTGCACAAATGTCGGTGCACTACATGTATGTAGTGTCCATGGAGGCCAGAAGAGGGTGTCGGATCCCCTGGAACTGGAGTTACAGATGGTTGTGAGCCACCACGAGGGTGCCGGGAACCAAACCCGGTTCCTTAGCGAGCAAATGCTCTTAACCACTGAGCCACCTCTCCGGCTCACTCACCCTCACAAGTTTTGACTAATCAAAATTGCTGCCTTATGGTCAAGCTCTATAGGACCTATCCTCAGTCAGACGGTCCCCTAAGATGGCTGACCCCAGAGTTCAGACTTTCATGGTCCCTTGTTTCTAAATAATTCAGCTCTTTCCCTTTGAACACAAAGGTTAAGGGGAGCAGGTAAGAAAGAACCATGTGTAAAGTCCAACATTTCACAAATAATTGTTGGGTTTTTGTTGTTGTTGTCTTTGTTTGTTTGGTTTTTTGTTTGTTTGTTTATTTGTTTGTTTTGAGACAGGGTTTCTCTGTGTAACAGTCCTGGGTGTCCTTTGTAGACCAGGCTGACCACAAACTCACAGAGATCCACCTGCCTCTGTCTCCCAAGTGCTGGCAGTGTGCTACCACCACCTGGCTACTTCACAGTGAATTTTAACGCAAGTGATTTTTCAAAATTATTTTCACAGGGGAAAAAAAAAAGGTCCACAAACAGTGACAAAAGCGCTGATTCAGTTTAGTGTCTCGGCTTCAAAAGAAATATGTTGCTATCCCATCGCAAAATATGAAGGGCTTGTGTAGACCCAGACATGGTCATACCATGGTATTCTCTGAACGAATGGAAAGACACATCTGAAATTCTGAAGAATTTCAGAAAAGTCCTACCCACAGGAAACAGCATTGTTTGAAACCCCAGCAAACAAGTCTCGGGCTCACGGGTTTAATTCAAGGAGCACCACACAGCTGAACCCACCCGCCAGGAAGGCCAGATGGGGCTGCCAGGATACCCTGACAGTGGCCACTCAGAGCCATAACCAAATAGGTGACCTGACAGTCTTAGCCTAATCCCCAGTGCCAGCCCCTGGCCTCCACAGCAGGCATAATTCCTCAAATTTACTCATGAATGGAGACTTTCCGTGATGAGGCTACCTCTCAGCCGGCAGCTGGGTTTTCTATTTTGGAATCTTTGTGAAAACTTCTCTGAAGTCACTTAAAGAAGCACCTAGAACAATAGACTCACCTACTTCATCAGCCTACACCATGGCTCCCTGGCAGTGAGGAGCAGCCCGAAGTTAAGAGCAAAACCCCTTCTGAGATCCATGAGGAACAAATCTGCATTTCTCTCTAGGATACTTCAAGAGTAAATTGTGAGCCACCAAGCAATTTTTAAAAGTTCTCTCTAGAGATTACACGAATCAAAAAATATCAAGAAATTGTGCTTATCATCATGTACTCCAAAAAAAGTAGTAAATAAAAAAACACACACATTCTTTTATATTTAAAAAAAAATCACAGGGTAAAGGCAGGTAAAATATTCCAGCACACTGCAGTTGGTCAGGTTGGCTTTTGTTTGTTTGTTTGTTTGTTTTGGCTTTTTGAGACAGGGTTTCTCTGTGTAGCTTTGGAACCTGTCCTGGAACTCTAAAACTCACAGAGATCCGCCTGGTTCTGCCTCCTGAGTGCTGTGATTAAAGGTGTGGGCCACCACCGCCCGGCTTGTTTGTTTGTTTTTAATTCTATGTTCACATCTTGAACACAGACATACTGATTGCAACCTTCTATTCAATGAAAAAAAAAAAAAAAAAAAAAAGAACTACAGAGCCTAGAAAATTCATAAGAATTATATAAATATTATTATTCTCCTTCATTCCCAATAATCACAACTTGCTAAAATTTTCAAGAGAAATCATTTAAGAAAGCCCTGAGGTTGTAATAAAAGAATAAAAGTCAGGGGAAAAAGACAATAACCCACTAACAAGGGTTGCAGTGTCGTGAGTGAGCAGCGTTACCGGATATTCTTAAAGTATTAAGAATTTCTTAAGACATTTCTTTCTTATCAATGAGCATGTGAAACTTTAGTGATAAGGAAAAGTATTTCCTTTAAACTCACATCAATACTTTCCTCCAAATATAAGCAAGTACTCTTTATAGTTCTTGGTTTATAGAATATTGGTGGGCTAATAGAACTGTCCAGGTACTTCGGGCAGCTGCAAACATGTTCCAGCTCCAACTTCTGCCGACCAACCTCTCCACAGTCTAATGATGGAATATACAGACGCCCACACTGAACTAACAGACAAGAACAAGGCTTGCTCTGTAAGAGCACTTGACAGGCCCAGAAGGAAAGGGAAATCACGTCTGATCAAGGGGACAGGGGGTAGACTTGAAGGCAAGGTGATGTGCTGGGCCTGGGGTGGATGGGCCTTGGCCACCCTGCAGGGTAACAGCTGAATTCACAGCTCAAGCTCTGACAACCCCCGCCCCAAGTACTTCAGCTATTTATAGCTAAACAGTAACATACATACCCAATCCACATCCAAAAACATTCTATGTAAAATGCTTTCATGCACACAATGAAACCTGCTCGAGTTGCAGGAACTTTCCCACATCATCTGGGTTTCTTCCACTTCTTTACCCATGATGCCTGGGTCGCTGTTACTCTGGACATGGTTCTGCTCTGACACACCCCCGTGTCTCCCATAGAGAGCAGTTTTGACTTTCTCCACTAAGTTTCTGAACAAGACTGTCATCTGTTTCTACTTTATTTCCCCATCCTTAAACATGTAGGTACATGGCAGACACTGACAGCAGATCAAGCCTACCTAGTTCAGAGAGTTGTGATAAGTGAATGCCATCAGAAGAAGATATCTGTCCAACAGGTACTATAAAATGAAATCACAATTGTATGCACCAACAAAGAATATTGAGTCTAAGACAGTTTTGTCCGACAACAAACCACTTCTTGTTCATTGGTATAATCTTGTTCAGAAACATTTTTCCCCCAGTGGGGACAAGGAAAGAAAGGTGG